AACACTTTTACTTTTTTTTCCGGAAAAAGGAAGATAGATCTTTTGCAAGAGAGCGTGACCAAGAGATGGAAGGAGAGGGAAGAAGGGAGAAGGAGACAAAAAATATAATTAAAAGTAATAAAAAATAATAATTAATTTCAGTGGCACCACACCTGCCTGGCAAGTACAAGGTCCTGAATTCGATCCCCAGTACTGAGAAAAAAAAAATAGAAAAAGAATTAATATATGTTAAGATGTGCCAACTCCCCCGAGACATGTAATCAGCGTTACTACAAACATGAACTCATAAAAAATATAAAAACCAAGAAAATATTTTTGATTTTTAAACTGACAAGAAGTGCACATTTATATTTGATGACATGATTTCTGATGCAGGTAAAAGCTCTGAGGAATAATCAAATCAAGCCGATTAATACCCAGATTACCTTGCATACCAGTTTTGTACGTGCGCATGGGGGTGATGGTTAAAAATCCATTTTGTAAAAAGCAAATTGAGTGACTTCTTTGTATTTGCAAAACCGAGATTATGTAGCAGCAGAACACAGCCCCGGCTGTCCAGTGCCGCTCTCTAGAGCAGCCCTCGGGGAAGCGGCTGCCCTGAGTGCCAGGGAGATGTGGTGGACGAGGACGGGGCAGATCCTTGTGCTGGGCGCGTGGCCTGCTTGGATGCCTGACCGCCGTGGCAGTTGCTGGTCTCTGCTGTTATTGTGGAAAATCAGGAGCGGAGCCTGTCACTTGTCATCTGTTCTTTGAGTGTAACCAACTTTCCTTCCATGGGCCATTTGGTGAGGCTGGGAATGATGGCTCCGGCTAAGTGACACCATCCGGGTGGTGGGGTAAACAAGGGAGGCGGGAGGCGGGCACAGGCGTCTTGGATCTGCCTGTGCATTCGGAGAGCTACCCCGGAGGGGGTCCTCCGCTGAGGACAGGGAACAGCGCGGTCCCCAGGTTTTCTCCTCTGCTGCCTGGGTCGGAATTCAGAGCTGCTGAGCGCAGACCAAGTCCTTAGCCCGGTGACTGCACAGAGGCACTGGCCTTAGATTTCACAGGGAAGCTTTCACTGGGATGTCAATGTCACTCGCTGAATTTCCTCATTTTTCCTCTCTCTCTCTGGAGATGCAGGATTGGAGCAGCCCGAGGCTTGTCTTAGGTGTTGTGGCTGGGACTGGCAGGACTGAAACAAGAGCCAGATTTTATGCTTTGCATCGTGGGCGCCTTCTACACTCTCAGGGTTCTGTTCCCACATTGAGCCCTCTGTCCTCAGGTACCACTGCTTCACTAGCAGCTGGGGGTTTTCTGAGGATTTGTAAAACCTTTACAGGGCTGGGGTTGTAGTTCAGTGGTGCTGTGCCTGCCTCGCAAGCGCAAGGTCCTGAGTTCCATCCCTGGTATCAAAAAACAAAAAGAAAAACTAAAAATGTTACTTCTCTAGTAAATGTACACACCAATTATTATGTAATGCAAGGTAGTGACATTCCAGGGATTGAACTTGGGACCTTTTGATTTCAAGGCAGGGGGTGGAACCACTGAGCTAAGTCCCTGACTCAAATCCTAGCTCTTTCACTTCCTTTTGGGCTTGGGAAAGTTCTTCTCTCTGTCATTCTGGGGCTGAGACTGGAGAGTTGAAGTGGTTAGTAACTGAGGTATGTGGGAGACCAGGACAGTCCCTGGCACAGTCAGTACCCACTACCCTGCTGTTTGGACCTGTGTGTGTGTTTGTGTGTGTGTGTTTGCGCGCATGTACATGTTGCATTGGGTATGAAGCAGATAAGGAAAGAGCACTCAGACTTGGGGAGAACTGCCTTGTTTCAGGCTCAGCTTACCTCAGAAGGCATTTCCTGAGGTAGAACCTACTGCTGTAACCTTTGGTTTCCAGGAACATCTGGTGGTCAGGCCCTTGGCTATACCAAAATAGGAAAATGCTTGTCTGCCTAAATTCTGCCATTTTACATATTTTTGTTCCCCTTTTCAGCATCCCATTGCCCAGGCATTGGTAAGAGTCCAAGGATACAACGCACACAGTGTGTGACACAGGGCACTTCGTGTACGTGTATTTGCTTGGCACACATCTGACACACAGTAACTGCTCGATCAACACCAGTGGCTGCTTTTCTTTTGTGGAACCCACTTTGGAGTTGTCCGAGAGCAAAAGAACAGGAGATCATCTGTTTTTGTAAACAACCCTTTGTCGGTCTGCCTGGATGCGAGCTGATCCCCCAGCGTGCTCACAGCCCAGCTGGGAGGAATGGGAGGCTTGCTTTCCCTTGTACAGATCGAGCAACCGAGAGACTGAAAAGTGACATCACCAGCAGGCAGTGACCTAGGGAGTCAGGGCCAGAACCAGGTCTGGGGTACAGACTTCCTGGATCCTGACCCAGGTTCCCTTCTGCTGTGCAGCCGTGCCCAGGCAGTGGGGAGGACCAGGAGAGCGTCTGCTTCGAGCCTCTCTCTGCTGCCCTTGGGAGTTTATCATCCGTCCACCGAGTGTTGACCGAAAGCACACTGATTCCTGAGGAGACCTCACAGGATGTCCTGTGGAGACTTTTCCTTCTTTTCTGTCAGTGCTTTGCTGGCAGATGAAAATTCAGCAGGCTCCCCTTTGTAGGAAGTCTGATAAAATATTCCCATCTCTATTGCAAACAATTTCTCCATCTGCCACTTGGCTGAGAAGATTGGACACCAGCACCCTCGCGAGAGGAGAGTGATCCCAGGCAGAGGAAGGTACAGGGAACGGCATGGGTGGGTGTCCGGATGCAGAGTCCACCTGATTGATTGGTCAGGTCCACCAAGCAGCTAATTTTATATCACCAAAACAGCTAACTGCACTGAAAGCTACCTGGCCTATTGTTTGGTATCGTGTAGATGCAGCTCTATAAATGCAGTGTAGAAATCTGTAAGAGAAACAAATTTGGGGTTGGGCACAGGTGGGGTACAGGAGGAAAGGGTTGCAGGATGCACAAAGTCAGATGAGGAGAACAGATCTGGGAAAGGAAACATACTTGTGGAGACGCAGCTCCCCAAAGCAGCCTTCAGATCTACGACGTGTGGAGGGCAGGGCTGGAATGACCATGAGTAAAAACGGCCATGTCTTCAATTTGCACTGCAGGGGGAAATGTTCTTTCCATCTGCAGATGCTCACCTTGTAAGTGCCTGCTGTGTGCCCAGCCCTTGGCTGGGGCCAGGATGGACATCCCGGGAACTGGAGCCTGACCTCACAGAGCTCACCTCCCCCTGGGAGAGACCAGCAAGGAAAACGAGAACATCGCCGATGATCAGTCCAAAGATGGGAACAGAGAGGACGTCAGGATAGTGCCAGGGTGGCCGGGTGGCCTTCTCTTGAGAAGTGGCCTGAACCAGATATGTGAGCAGTGAGGGATGAGTAGTATAGACAGAGGGACTTGAAATGCAAAGGTCTGAGAAGAGAAGCTATCTGAGGGGCTGCGCAGTGGGGCAGAAAGGTGGGAAATGGCGGTGAAGGACTAAGGTGTGGCAGTGGATGGAGATGGGGGAGACGTGTTCCGGTCCTTAAGGGATGGGGTGCAATCAAAGGCTCTGCCTGAGGGAGGGGCGGGGTGGGTCTGACACCACCAGGCTTCAGGGTTAAGAATCTGGTAAGTGGTGGTGCTGCACATCAGGATGGGAAGCCCAAAGAAGCAACACTCCTGAAAGGTTTGGAATAGAGCGTACTATTCGGATGCTGCTGGCTTGAAGGGACATAATCTATGTGTGTGTGGCTGGATGTGTGGTTGGTCTTGAGCTCAAGAAGAGGTCTGGGCCAAATATGCAAACTCTTAATAAAAAATAATGGGGAAAGTAAAGTGCTATTTAGAGAATGAAGTAATCAATTCAGACTAGGCAGGTATGGATGACTTCAGGCACGTGCCAAGTTCAGTAAGGATTGTAAGCAGCAGATGAGAGGGCAGCTGCAGGAAGAACTAGAGAAAAGCCTTTCTTCATAGTATGACAGGATCAGCTAATGGTGGGTGACACGAGGGAGAGTACTCCTCTGCACCCTTCCCCAGAGAAAGTTAGCTGGCAACAGGGACCATATCCATAATTAAGAAAAGGACGCCAGGTGCTGTGGTGGACAACTGTACCCCCGAACTCTGAGAGGCCTAGGCAAAGGGATAGCAAGTTCAAGGCTAGAGTAGGCACAGTGACTGTCTCAAAAGGAAAAAATAAGAAAAGAGTTGGGGATATAGCTCAGTATGAAAGTTCTGGGTTCAATCCCTAATATGAGAGAGAGAGAGAAATTAATTGATTGATCAGTTGATTGACTGACGCAGAAGCTTTCTGAGGAGTTGAAATGGTCTATATCCTATTTAAATGAGATTATGTGGGTTCGAGCAGTTGAACAGGATGTTCAGAATAAGCTTTCTGAATTTGACTCTATGTAAGTTATATCTCAACTTTTAAAAATCTGGATAGTCTTGCTCTAGAACCTGCTTTCTTAAAGCCCTTCCCAGCATCAGGGGAGTAAACCTGGAGGCTAAGACACGGTGCAAACAAACAGAATTGAGATGGGTGCATTTAGGTGACAAAGGCTCCCACTCTGCCTTCTTGGTGGAGGCGTGGCACGCTGCTCCTCCAGGCTGAGCTGCACTCCTGTGGACTGCTTGGTCCACCAACGCTGTTGAATTAGACTGGCACTGTCTCGGCGGGTACAGTTCAATGCCATGGACACCCACACAACACTGGCTGCACGCCAGGCCCCAGGTGTGCTGTGCTCCCATTGGCTCCTCCAGGCCAGGACAGTGGATTTCCATTTCTGTGGCTTCCCCCAAGCATGGCTCAGCTCTTCCCTCGATTCCTCTGTGCCTGGCATGGACAGGTACCAAGTAAACATTTGTTGAAGGAACAAAGACACGGATTGATGAATATCAAGTGAGTGCCTGGGTCTGTATGAATATGGGAATTCAATGTCTGATTTCTTTTAAAAAAAATAAACACTGCATGGTTTGATATTGAAAAAATATGAAATTTAAAAACTTCGCGTGTTTCTTTTCATCCTTTTGTAAATCAAAGAGTAAAACAAATGGAGAAGATAGAGAAAATAACATTAATGACTTCATCTTATGACCCTTTTGTCTGTGACATTAAAGGAAGACTGAAGACAACTGGTCTAGTGGCTGGACTTCAGATGATTAAAAATACTTTGCAAGAAATAAGCTTGGATTTGCAAACCAACAACAAGATAACTTCCTTTGGTAAGAATGACAGCAACAGTTGATATTTCTGGGGGGAAACAATAACAAAAGTAAGAACCCCCCCCAAATCTCTTCCAATCTCAGTTGGCACCAGGATATGAAAATGATTAAATCCAGCTAAAGATGCCAACAGACCAAGCCTTTGGAAGATACATTTAGTAGGGATCGTTTCTCAAAGTTTACTTACTGCCAATATTTCTACATGGTGTATAAAGTGACAAAGTAAAGCATTTAATGACTTTGTATCTGAAATATATTTACAGATATAAAACAGAATTAACTTAGATGGAAAAACTGCACTCCACGAATGCTTAGCACAATGATAAAAGAAAATAAGGGTAAATGATCCCTGTGCTGAAAAACAAAATGTCATATTGGGTCAACAATCTTAACTAAAAAAGAAAATCTATTCCAGTTATGTACATTTGAGGTGGCAGATGAATACTTGTTGAGTATGTGGAAATTTATATGAAAGTAAATGTTATGCTCTGGTTCTAAAATTTAAAGCCTCAACACTGTGCATTTATTTCATTGTTTTATAAATATTTTAGAAGGGTTAATGAAGAAAATAGTGGGTGTATTTTATTTATCTCCTTGTCTTTCCATGGAATGTATGATATTTTGCAGGAATACATAGTCTACTAGAAAACAAATGTCAGAATAAAAATGGCAAAGGCAAGGACTATGTGTTACAGGAGGGGATGTGGTAAAAGAGAACTGTAAAAGAGGGAGAAATTTCAGATTCGTAAGCTTAGTGTCCTGTACTGTCCAACTGACACTAAGCTATACATTTTGTTTTGAGTGTTTTTGTCATCAAGTGAAAAGGGAAACAGAATTCATTGATATGATTTATAACAAAATTCACAATCACTAAATTAACATTGAACAAAGGGCATCCTAACTGGAAAAACAGAATTCTTAGAGCTAATACATGTGTGCTATACATGTGTGTGAAGTCAACATTTGTGTAGCTTTTGAAAGACTGAATGACAGTGGGAAGTTCTCAACAATATCCCCTTAGGAACTGCAATAGAGGATTTTATTCTGAAATTTCTTCTCCAGTGCATACGCCATGTGAGAAAACCAAGACAAAAGAGCCCAAATACACTGCTCCTGGGTGATTTTACTCAAGAAAAGACCTGGCCACCTAGCTGAAGAAGGGATGGTGTTTCCTATGCAATGAGCATAAGGAATGTGGGGTCATCTTCACAGCAGAGAGGGATTCTGATGGAGCTGTAAACTTCAGCTTGAAGAAGGAGAGTATCAGCAGAGGAGATAAAAACGAGAAGCCAGACCAGTTGAAGTTGTAGCAGTGAGGCTGGGGGCAGTGGTTCATGACCACAAGGATGCCAAACCCAGCTGCCACGGAGGGTCAGCGTGCATGGCTGCATGGTACCCCTGGCCCTGGCCATCCAGACACTTGGAAGCCCCTCTCCTGAATTGGCTCTCAGGAAAGAAATCCTTTGTGTGTGCCAGTCTGTTCACCTCAGCATTAGTACCCAGGACCTTGGTCTCCTGATGCTCCTCCCAGGTCCAAGGAGGGAGTTCTGGGTCTGCTGCAGCTCCTTACTCACAGGCTGTAGTGGTGTGATTGACACAGTTAGGGAAGTAAACTGGACACATTTGACTCACCCCTTCCTTCTCCTTCTGGGGTAGCAACTGTCTGTAAGAAGCAGGGGTTCTTTTCTCCTCCACAGTGAGCTGCCCCTCCCTAGTTGGACTTCTCCTGTGCTTAGAAGAAGTGATTCTGCAAAATTCTGGGCTCACACACTGGACATTGTCTTCCCAGTTGGCCTTTGTTAATAATAAAGATTTACAGTTAGGGTGCAGCTCAGGATAGAGTGATTGTCTAGCACGTATGAGGCCCTGAACCCCAACCCCAGCACCATAAAAAACCAAAGACAAATATTAGTAATAAGGATTTCACTTGGCTTCTGTCTGCCATTCCTTTGTTTTATCAATTTGTTCAGCTCTCAGGAGAAGAGGGCTACCATTTGTGAGCCCTCTTCAGAGACCCCAACCAGATGAACTATTTAGTCGTGTTCTTCCCAAATTGGTGCAAGGCTTAACCAAGATGGTGGCATGACATGGCATGGAGGGGTGGATGCAAAGAGTTGTGCTCTTTCTAATTGGTATGTTGGCCATATTCCCTGCATCCCTTCCATCTGGAAGTATAACTGGAGAACTGATGATAGTAGCCAGAATAGGACAATACGTTTTTTGAGGTACTGGGAATTGAACCCAGATTTTCATACTGAGCTACATTCTCAGTCTTTTTTTTTTTTTTTAATTTTTAATTTTGAGACTAAGTTCTGCTATTGCCCATGCTGGGCTGAAACTTGGGATCCTCCTACCTCAGCCACCACACTCCACTTTTAAGACAAAAATCTTGACCCCTAATGGTTGGTAGAGTCTCTACATCTCCCACCATAACCCTGACATCCCAAAGACACCTGAAATGTGCTTTTCGTGGACAGCTGTCCTTGGGTTGTCTGCGGTGTCTTGATCCTCTGGGGTGAACCCATGCATCTTCCCTGCAAATGTAGCACCTGGCTTCATCAATGATCTCCAACACCACCATTGGGCCAAAGAGGAAAATGTATCTTCATTCTTGTTTCTGGATTACCACCAAGCTTTCCTGAGCGCTTGTCTCATTGTGGCCTGAAAGTGGAAATTATGATATCTCCAGATGTAAGCATCAAATGAACCAGTACTAGGAATAGTCAAGTGTCATGCCAGGTCCGGGGGACACACCTGCAGGTTGCACAGGGAGGTGAGGCAGACTCCCCTGTGGTTGCCATGGAGGAGCTGGCTGACAGGAGCCGATCCTGGAGCGTGGTTCCCAGAACAGCACCCTATGCCTTCTTCATCTGCTCTCAAAGCATCATTTTGGGCACTTTGATGAGGAATCCAACTGAAAAGGAAGAGCAGACAAGTATTTTAAATTTTCTCTACAAACCTTCAGATCACAAGCATGACTGCAAAAACACTTATCTTGCTGCCTTTCAGGCCTACAGCAGGAGGAAGACCAAAGAAAACAAACCAAAAAACCAGAATCATTAAAACCAACAACAAAGGAACCATCTTGTTTCCTTTCTTTCCTTGTCTACTCTTATGGAAATAGGAATGGAAAGAGAAATCTAATATTTGAGCTCACCTGTTGACAGTTTGCTTTCATTTGATTTGTGCCTCATTTGCATGAATAAAAAGTAGACAGAGGGTGTGGCTTAACAATAGCATAAAAGTCACGTGAGGAGGCTTTCTTCATTAGCTCCCTTCTCATAGGATGATTGTATCTTTTCTGTCCCTGGTGCCATTTAAATCTTTCTTTCAACACCATTGCGGGTGATAGCATGTTGGGATTCTTTCACTTCAGGGGGTGCTGAGGTTTCAACATTAACCAAATCCTAAAATGAAAAAGAAAGGGACTCCTAGATAAATTAGGGTGACTCTTCAAGCCAGTGCTACGTGGTTGCCAGAGCAGCACCACTGTCTGATGGCTGAGGGGCTCTGACTAGCATCAGCTCCAGCCTTCCCAGGGTGCTTCTTGAGTTCTTCTTTGTAGCTGGGCACAATGGCCTTGCCCCTTGGAGAGAGCAAAGCTGATAAGCTAGAAGAGAGCAGAGCTAAGAGAGGTTTATCACAAGTAAGGAGCTCACTGGGGCAACCTCCAAAGCTGTGCCTCCCCAGAGACAGTGTAGGGCTTTTCTAGAGACCACATGTGCCTGTTCAGAGTGGATAGGCTTGTCGTCTTGTGTAGGGTGGACACATTCCTGAACATGCTCATGAGGTCATTCTCCAACATACACCCTGTGATCAAACATGCCAGGCCGGAAGGCCTCCTAGGTGGCAACGTTAGCATTATAATGAGATTACAATCAGTAAAGTTTCTTCTGGGTCACCTAGAAGAGTGACTCAGCACTTTTGGCTGGTTCCTTGTGGGGTTCTTTTTTTTTTTTTGGTTTTTTGAGACAGGGTCTCACTATGTAGTTGAGACTGACCTGGAACTCAATATGTAGCCCAGGCTGGTCTCGAACTCACAGTGATCCTCCTGCCTCAGCCTCCCAAGTGCTGGGATTATAGGCATGTGCCACCATGTCTGGCAAACAAGCCTTCTCATTAT